GGGTGCGGCACACAGTGCCGCTCTCTCCCAGCACCCTGCAAAGCCCATGCCGTGCGACCCCACACAGGTGAAGAATTCTGGAGGATGGATGGGGCTGCCTAGCCCCACGTGTCTATGCTTTCCTCCTATCCTTCCAAGCGCACGGGGCTGGTGGTTACTGTCTGGGAGAACACCCCTCTCCAACAATAACAGCAATAAAGTCCAGACAACAAATATTTAGGAGCAAAAGAAAGAAGGTGGACGAGCATAGAAATAGGCATGGCAGATATACAGAAGAGAACATGGCACTGGTCGTAAAAAAACAGGGTCGATAAATCATTCTTAACAAAAGAAAGTGGAAAAAAGAAGACTGGAGAACCCTAATAGTTGAAACAATTTACAAAGTCACAATTTACAAACGGATACAGATGAAGTTAATGAGTTGAGAGGTCCATTTGAGGAATTTTCCCCCAGAGAAGCAGAGAGGCGTGTGTAGATCAGAGAGAAAATGCAGGCGCTGTGGAGGGCGGAAGCGGATGTGCCAGCACCGAGGCAGCGGGAGTCCAAGATGAGAGAAAAATAAAACCGCAGGGAAACGTTTGACCAACTGTGGAGCTCAGTTTCCAGAACGACAGGTGAGCCCCACGGCCTGACGGGCCTGGAACATCAAACGGGAGAAAAGAGGAACATTAGCGCATTACAGCCGAATTTAAGATTATCAGAGACAAACAGAAAAAATCCTTAAAATAATGACTACGGGAGCAAGCATGGTGGGCTGGCATCAGGGGTCGCAGACGCAGGGCAAGTGCTCGGCACCCGCCAGTTCTCCCCCACGGCACTTTCACGAAGTGCACGGGGAGCCAGGAGCTGGTCTGGAAAAAGCAAAGAGGGATCTCATACTCACTCTCCCAAGGCTGAGGTCTCCAGTCCAGCTGGAGGGAGAGGCCTGTTCCAACCCTCAAGCATCTAAAGCCAATCGGGGACTGGCACTAACGAGCACAGCGCACCAGGCCCAGCCCAGCTCACTTCCTGAGGACATCAGAGATCAGCTCCTCCGCCCAGCTGCCCAGCGCAGAGTGGAGCAAGCCCATGCTTGGTACGGGGTAGGTATTTTCTGCTTCGGGCTCTCTGGTCTTGTACACAGTATGTGTAAGAAGCAAGAGATTATGACGTATCATCTCAAGAAGAAACAGGCCTGCGGATGACCCACACGTCTGCATTAGCAGACAAGGACTTTAAAAAAGCCATTATAAATACGTTCAAGAGAAGCAAAAGAGTGAGAGAACAGCACTCTTTGAGCAGAATAAAGAAAACTTCTTAAAGTAACAAAATTAAAAGTGCAACATCTGAAGTGAAGACTGATTGGATACGCTCACCCGTAGGATTGATACAACGGAAGAAAATCATGGACCTCAAGGACAAGTCAACAAAATGATTAAAACTAAAGATCAGAAGAAAAAACGAACTATGAATTACTCATGAATGAATTTTCAGCATTTTTTAATGCTTATTTATTTTTGAGAGAGACAAGAGCACGAGCAGGGGAGGGGCAGAGAGAGGGAGACACGGATTCTGAAGCAGCTCCAGGCTCCAGCTGTCAGCACAGAGCCCGACGCGGGGCTCGAACTCATGAACCCCACGATCATGACCTGAGCCGAAGTCAGACGCTTAACTGACTGAGCCACCAATAAACGGTGCCCCCAATAAATGAATTTTTAAAAAAACAACAGAGCATAAGAAATCTCTGATTTGGAAATATCGAGCAAACAAGCACACAATTGGGAGTCCCAGAAAGAGAGGGCAGAAGAGGCAAAAGAAATATTTGAAGAGAGAATGACTGAGTATTTTCTAAAAATGAAGAACTATGTCGACCCACAAATCCAAGAAGCTCAGCAAATACCACAAGATAAATATTGACATAAATAAACTTAAGACCTAAAACTTTTATCTAGTCAAATTATTCAAATGTGAGGGCATAATAAAAAATATCCTCTTACAAAAACAGCTTCAGAGGCTGACCAAAAAAGAGGATTGGGGGGTGGGGGGGGGATAGTATTCAAATAGTAAGATAAACCTAGAATATTCTGTAAGCAATAGGAGAAGGGAGAATTATCACATACTATAGTAAAGTCTGTCACTATCTAAAAGGAGATAGAAAAAAAAGCAGAAAAAAGTGACAGTTAAGATCATGATAGAAAAAATACAAGTCAATACGAATGAGCTAAATTTGCCATGTAAGAGATTGCCAGATCTTTTACAGAACAAAACGAAACAAGCTATACTTTCGTAGATGAGACACTCCTAAATCAGAAGAACAACAAAAAAGTACAAGTATGGAAAAAATATCACGTAAATACACATACAGAAATAAAGCTGGTTTAGCTACACTACCATCAGCCACAATAGACTGTCAGACGGAAAGCATCATTAAGAACGAGAGGGTCTCCTCCAATAATTGGTTCAATTCACCAAGAAGATCGTTATAAACATTCCAGCGTCTAATGCAATAGTCTCAATACATACAAAGCAGACATTAACAGACGGCACGAAGAAACTGACGGATTTACCTCAACACTGGGAAATTTTGAACCACCTCCCTCAATTAGTTCGGGTTAAGAAGCCAAAAAAACAATAAGCAAAAAGAAGGTCTGAATAATACAGCTAACAATTTGAACTAATTCATTCCCAGAACACACAGGAAATATTACGTTATTAAGAAGAAGAAGATAAATTTTAAATCTCCATGTTTAGATATTTTTAAAGATACTTTGAACTAACTTATCGGTAGAGGAAATATGGACAGTTACAAATTTTGAGTGCATATTAACGATCATTTTCTATATAGAAACTTGTGTGATGTAGCAAAAGCAGTGCTTCAGGGGAAATGTACAGCTTTATTTTTTTGAAGATTTTATTTCTAAGTAATCTCTACACCCAGTGTGGGGGCTCAAACCCACAACCCCAAGATCAAGAGGTACGCACTCTACTGACTGAGCCAGCCAGGCACCCCTAGAAATTTACAGCTTTAAATCCACAATAAGAGAAGTCCAAAAATTAATGAATTAAATGTCTGAGTTTAGAAGTTAGGAAAAGGACAACAAATGATACAAATAAAGTAGAAAGAAAAAGGTAACACAAGAGCCATAATTAACGAAACATAAGTCAAAAGTACAGAGAACACCAAAATCAGTTCTTTGAAAAGCCTATGAAAATGGACAAACTTCGATCAACTGATCAAGAAAAACAAAGAGCACACATAAAAATCCTTATAAATGAAAAAAATTACATAGCCACAGATATAACAGAGATTAAAAAGATAATGAGAATGCTATCAACCAGTCTATACAAATAAATTTGAAACCTTAGCAGAAATGGACATAGTCACAGAAAAATATAACTTACCAAAAAGGACTCAAGGAAATGTAGAAAGCCTACATAATTCTATAAAGGTCTAAAGGTATTGAAGCAGCAGTTAAAGCATCTTCCCACAAAGAAACTCCAGAACCAAACAATGTTATAGGTAAATTCTACCAAATTGCCAACCAATAGATCATTGCATCATTATATAGGCTCTCTGGAGAGCAGAATATAAAGCGTATGTGCCAACCTATTCTATGAGGCCAGTATAATCTTGTTGCCAACACCAGATATGGACAGTGGGAAAAAGTAAGCCATGAGTCTGTTAAACATACGGACATAGATGCAGAAACTCGATGGTCTATGAAGACTATACATACCATTATCAAGCTGGGTTGTTGCCATGAATAGTTCGATATTAGGAAAACCTGCTCTATTAACCAACTGAAGGAGAAAAAGCATGTAAGTATCTAAATAAGTGCATAATAAACATTTGGCAAAATTTATACCTATTCATGAAATAAATTCTTACCAAATAAGGAATAAAAATGTACTTCCTTACCAGATAAAAATCACACACACACACACACACACACACACACACACACACACACACACCCCTGCAGTGCCATGTGGTATAAAATATATAGGATTTACTGGAGGAAAAGCTTAAAAGAGAGAAGGAGCAGAATCCACATAACCCCCAAAGTGTGCATCATCCCACAGAGAGGTGTGCTTAGGCTGGGCACAGCCAGACTGGTCATACTGTGTGTAGCCAAGCTATAAGACTTCACACCTTTACAGAGGAAGGACTACAGGTTACATCGAGAGAGCTGTGGAACAATGAGTGTCCTGACCCTTGTTATACAGAGGTAGGATCTGGAATTCAAAAGCTGTGCTTCTGTTGATCTGACTCAAACACACTGGGCGGCCAACAGGGGGAAGGAAATTAGCTTCTGAAGCAGTTTTACTATGCTTCTCCTCAAACCCCAAGTAAACATTATCCTAAATAGACATTCCTCTTAAAACTGGGGACAAGGATGCCCACTGTCACTAAGCCTCATCAAAATTATATTTCAAGTATTAGCCAGTGCAATAAAGAAAAAGAAACTGAAGTCATGAGAATACTAAATAGGGAGGTAAAATGTCAGTATTTGTAGCTGATAAGGTTGTCTTTAACCTGCAGGCAAACCACTGAAAATGACAGGAAACATAGTATGTTTAGTGGATATAGATTATTCTAACACAATTACATTTTAATATCTCAACAATCGAAAATGTAATTATAAAAAAACCTGCGCAGAGAAAACCAATGAAACTGAAAGGTGGTTCCTTGAAAGGCTTGATAAAATTGACAAACCTCTAGCTATACTGATCAAGAAATAAAAACGAAAAATTAGCAATATCAGAATTAAAGAAGTGTCATCACTTAGGATCCTACCAGCATTTAAAGGACAACAAAGAGATATTGTGAACGACAGTAGGCCAATGTATCTGGCAAGGGAAAGAAAAGGGACTACCTTGAAAGACACAAATTACTAGAAATGACAGAAAAATAAATAAAAAATACGAATAGCTCTGTATCTACTAAAGAAATTTAATTCATAATTAAAAACCTTTCTGCAAGGAAATGGCAAGACTGGATTGCTTCATAGATGAATTCTAACAAACACTGAAGGAAAGAATAATACTAACCCTACACAAGCTTTTTTAGAAAATACAGGAGAGAGAGTACTTCTCGATTCATTTTGTGAGACCAGTATTGCCTTGGTACAAAAGCAGACAGAAAGGTTATTTTAAAAAATGAAATCAGAGACTAATATTCCTTACCAACATGAGCATAAATATCTTAACAAAGTATTACTAAATCAAACCCAGTGTTACATAAAAAGTATGATATATCATGACCAAGTGGGAGTTATCTCAAGAACACAGGTTGGCTTAATACTTGAAAAATGTAATTCACCATATTAGGATAGGAAGAAGAAAACCATATAGTCATTTCGATAGAAGCAGAAAAATCATTTCAAAATATTCAACTACTGTTTAAGACTCTTACTAAGCTAAGAGTGGAAGGGAAGATCTTGAACCTGATGAGGGCATCCATGAAACACCAACTGCTAACAAAGGACTTCACGGTGGGAGACATCTGGCTGCCATCAGTAACAAGGCAACTGTGTCCGTCTCACCAATTCCTTCCAGCATTGCCCAGGAGTTCCCAGACGGTGCCACAGCCAAGGAAAGGAAATAAAAGTCACATCTACTGGAAAGGAAGGGGACATGATCATGCACATAGGAAATCCCAAGAAATTCTACAAAAGAAGCTATAGAACAAATAAGCAAATTCAAGTGGGTCACAGGACACAGGACGACATTACAGAACCTTGATATTTTCATATTCTGGCAGTGAACACTTGGCAAATAAAATAAAATGAACAATATTGTGTGTAACAGCACCAAAAACATGATACATTTTTACATGTGTGAAATGAATTGTAGACATAAATGTAAAAGCTAAAACTATAAACTTCTAAAAGAGCATTGGAGACAGTCTTCTTGACAGCTGGAGTAAAATGGTTATGCATTTGGAAAAATATTACATTGTCCCCTGCTTTTCACCACACACAAGATTCCAGATTAAGGACTTAAATGTTTTTCTAAAACTATAAAATTTTATGTGGAAAGTATAGGTATCTTTTGGCCTTGGGATTAGGAAAGTTTTCTTAGGCCACAAAAAAGCACTATCAAAGGGGCACCTGGGTGGCTCAGTCAGTTGAGCGTCTGACTTTGACTCAGGTCATGATCTTGAGGTCTGTGAGTTCGAGCCCCGCATCGGGCTCTGTGCTGACAGCTCGGAGCCTGAAGCCTGCTTCAGATTCTGTCTCTCTCTCTCTCTCTCTCTCTCTCTCGCTCTCTGCCCCTCCCCCACTCATGCTCTGTCTCTCTCTCTCTCTCTCTCTCTCTCTGTCAAAAATAAACATTGAAAAAAAGCACTATCAAAGAAAAAAATGGACAAATTTGACTATATAAATATGAATTTAAAATCATCAGCCCTAAGGAAGAAAGTGAAATATAAGCGACAAAGCGGGAAAAGATGTATTTATATAAAACTGGTTTCAAGAATATATAAAGAACTCTGTGAATGAATAAGAAAAGAATGATCAACCCAATAGGAAAACTGGCAAAACACCCGAGTAAGCCCTTCATGGACGAGGAGATACTGAAAGCCAACAAAAACAAGGAGAAATATTAGTAATCAGTGAGCTGCACATCAAAAGCTCACGGAGGCAGTTGACAAACCTAAGAAGCCATCTGCTGGTGAAAACGTGGATGGGCAGGATTTCCTAGCAACGGCTGGAGGGAGTGTAAGTCGGGGGAACACTTTGAAAAGGGTCTAACAGTCTGCCTGTCCAGCTGACCATGCGTATAAGCTGTGTGCCCGTGATTCCACCTGTAGGCTTAGCACACTTATACCAGGAGCTAGGAAAGGGGAAAAAAACAGAAGCAGGTTTCTATCATAACAAAAAGTCCACAACCAACCCAAAGGCCCAGCAAACGACACCGGACAAAGTATGGTGTGGTCACACCACGGATCCCACCGCCGCCCCCACGTTCACGCAGCAGAAAGCAGAGACCCCGGAGATGCGGAGGCCCCTCACGCCTTCCAACAGAAGAGTCCCTATACCCCAGTATCTTATCAGTAAAGTTCATATGTAGCACAAACAAACCATACATGTTTAGGTGATTCATAAAAATCGAAACACGGAAGGGGTAACGAGATCGTGGCCCTGAAAATTCCATCCCCGGGGGTGGGGAGGGGCACGTGCCGGTGAGCCGGTGGACTTTGTAGCTCCCAGGCGTCATTACTTACTCATCTGCATTTTGAGCAGGAACAGTAAACTTTAAGAAGTTGAAACTTTTGAATTCGGAAGTACACTTCCCAGTTTAAAAGAAAAAGTGAGCCTGTGGCAAATACTTCAAAGGGAGGGCCCCGTCCCCATCGCGCCGGTTTCATATGGGATTGCTGTGTATCGAACGAACAAGATTGGGCCTTGCCACCCGAGAGTCACTGGGGTGAAGTCCCACACCACCTCTGTGAGCCCTCGGGTCATCATGCGCGCCTGCTGTCCCCGGGCCTGCTGCCGCTGCTTCCTCTCCAGGGTGTCCCCCCCCTGCCTGGTTTCTGGCCTCTCCAGGCACTGAGAGGTGCTGGAGACTTCCGTCTGTCTCCTCGAACAAAGCTGATTTATGTCCATCTTATTCGGCTTCAAGCCACTGCTTCCAATCACAACACTGCTTTATTCTTGGGGTCTCTCCTGGTGCCCGTGCACCTGGGCGCCCCTCCCTCGGAAGCTGGTAGAGCTGCACGGGGGCTCCTGCCAGGCACCTGTGCGTCTGCAGCACAGGGCGCAAAGGAGCCCACTGTGAGCTGAGTAAGACTGCGGGACACAGCTCCAGCCCCTCCTGCCCAGGCTGCCGGGCCCACCACTGCCTGCCCTCGGACCCCTGCCTCTCCGACTTCTAGAAAGACAGAGGTTTACAAACATCTCTGCCTCCACCTCCCCAGGGAGACGGACAGCGCAGCTGAACAAGCTGACCTTGACCTCCTCTCGCAGCCCCTCCTTCTGCAGCCTCCGCCTCAGGGGTGGAGGAGGTGGGGTGGAGAGAGTCACATCCTGACCACCCCTGGTCCTGTGCTCCAAGCCAGCAGAGGGAGGGGAGAGGCCTTTGGGGTACACTGACGGACGAGCCCTGTGCCCTCCACACCTAGGTAGGACTCTGACACCGCCCCAGGGAGGGCCAGGCCCAGGATGCCTCCGGGCCCCTGAGAAGCCTGGAAGGGAAATGCTGGAGTAACCTGGGGGTGAGCCTTTGCTGGGCAGACAGCGGAGAGGGTGGGTGTCAGGCTGAAGCCGCAGGGCACATGTGGAACCCTGGGTGTGGTGGAGGCCCGTGTAGAGCCCATGCAGGGCTGTGTCATCCCGTGCAGGGCCCATGTAGGGCCACGCAGCCTCCTATCCTGTCTCTGCAGAGACAGACAAGTGCCCCTGTCTCTGCAGAGACAGATGAGTGCCAAATGCAGCCTTGCAGAAATGGAGGCTCCTGCAGGGACCTCCCGGGGGCCTTTGTCTGCCAGTGCCCCGCAGGCTTCACTGGAGTCCACTGCGAGACAGGTAGGGGCTGCGCTTGGGTGGGTCCCCTGAGCGGCTGGGCCCTCACCCACGATCGCGATGCCCCGGACACCCCGGGCAAACCTGTTTTCAACAAGCCTAGACCCTGGACCGCTGAGAGGGCAGAGGGAAGGGGCTGGGGCCCATGGCCCAGCTGGACAGGCCCCCTGGTGGGAGGGACCCCAGGGCTGAGGGGGGTTTGCCCAGCCCCCCCACCTGGCATCTCTCCTCGGTTCCCCTTCCCTTCTTCCCGCTGTCCTCTCCTCCCTCCCCCAGACACCCCCTTGCGGCTCTGGCCGACTCTCTGGGTATTCTCCAGAGGTGGATGCCTGCGACTCCAGCCCCTGCCAGCACGGAGGCCGGTGTGAGAACGGTGGCGGGGCCTACCTGTGCGTCTGCCCAGAGGGCTTCTTCGGCTACCACTGCGAGACAGGTAGGGAGGTGGGGGCAAGTCCCTGCTCCCTCTCCAGCGGCCCCAGCTCCCCCCGGGAGACTCGGGCTGGCCCCTTGTCCAGCCTGGACGGGCGGAGCTCACCACAGCCCCAGAGTCCTCACGGCTCCTTACGGCTGGAGACGCTCCCCACCTTTTCCCCCTTCATAGGACTTGCCACTGTCTGGAGCCGCCTCTGCGATATAACCCCAACTTGCTGACCTCAGCTCTCCTCCTGGGATGGGTGTGTCCTGGGGGCACATCCTGGCCTATCCTGTTCTAGGCCCCAAGCCAGGCCCGGCCGGGGCGGCACCGCACTGTGTAGGGTGCACGCTGCAGGGCAGCGAGGGCTGTGCTGGGGGTGAGGTGTGCCATCCACGCACTGCAGGGCGGCGGCGGGGAGGGGGCCCAGACGGAAGCATGGCGGGACCGTTTGCGGCCAGGGGATCTCACCGCGCAGGCTTGGGGTGGGCGCGGGCACACCCGCAAGAGCAAGGTTAGTGGCTGTGACGGTGATAAGGGGACACGTTGGTTGTTTGCCATTGTTTCCTGAGGCTCCACTGGGAACCTGCTGACCCCTGGCCCTGGCCTGGGAAGCCCAGGTCCGCTCGGTGCCCGCAGCCCTGGCGCAGAGGGAGGCTGCAGAGGGCTGGGGCCCTTGGATGCCCGGCTGCCAGCTGCCCCCCCCCCCCAGGAGGGGCCAGCACCGCGCTCACCCCCGAGTCACCGCCTGCCAGCCCACCTTGGCTTGGAGCAGCAGTGGGACAGCCCGGCTCAGGAGGAAAGACACACTTGCCCAGCCCCTCAGTGGGACCTCCAGCAAGCCCTGCAATCCCCGTCAGACAATGTCCCCTCCTTCACTTCCTAAATCCCTGCCTGTGATGGTACCAGCCACCTCCACCCCACAAACACACCCACACAGGAAGGACAAGGGTCCCGCTGGCGGAGCTGCTAAAACCCCAGTGTTCACCGATACTTTCCCCTCTCCCAGTGAGCGACCCCTGCTTCTCCAGCCCCTGTGGGGGCCGCGGCTACTGCCTGGCCAGCAACGGGTCCCACAGCTGCACCTGCAAAGTGGGCTACACGGGCAAGGATTGCGCCAAAGGTGAGGTGGCAGAGGCACCAGTGTGGGGGGCGGGGCCTCCCTCACCCCTCAGAGGGCACAGGCGCCCCCGGGGACAGGCCACAGTGCTGAGCGGCCCCCCAGAGCAGAGTGTCTAGGCAGCTGCTCACCCAGGCTCTGCCCGAAAAGCAGGGAGGGTTATAAAAATACTCCGGGAGGCATAAATGCAGTCGCAGGTGCGCACACACCTGAGACCTGGGAGGCACTGGCCAGAGGCTGAGAGAAGAGGTCCATCGCAGGCGACAGGAGCTGGCTCCCCACCCCCGGCAGCTGCCCCCACCTCCACCCCCCAGGGTAGCAGGCCCAAGAGCCACCAGGTGAGGTATCTGACTGGGGGCCAGGGCTTCCGTGGCCGACAGCTGACCACCCCCTTCCCTTGTTCTCCACCGAAACCCCGAAGAGCTCTTCCCGCCGACGGCCCTCAAGGTGGAGCGAGTGGAGGAGAGTGGGGTGTCCATCTCCTGGCGTCCGCCTGAAGGTCAGGCCGCCAGGCAGATGCTTGACGGCTACGCGGTCACCTACGCCTCCTCGGACGGTGCCTACCGCCGCACAGACTTCGTGGACCGGAGCCGCTCCTCGCACCAGCTCCGGGCCCTGGCAGCCGGCAGAGCCTACAACATCTCCGTGTTCTCCGTCAAGCGCAACGCCAACAACAAGAATGACATCAGCAGGCCGGTGCTGCTCCTCACCCGCACACGTGAGTGCCCGCCTGGACGTGCCTGCTGCCACCTGGAGAGGCACACTGGCCAGGCACCCCGAGGCACCACGGGGACCCTTAACCTGTTCCCTGGGCAGTGGCTAACAGAGATAAGAGCCGGTGGCTTAGGAGTGAGGCTAGGGGAGAAGTGGGGGTCTCCCTGAGAAGGCACCTGTGACGAGCCAGCGCATGTTGGGGCGTCCAGGAGGCCACCCCAACATGCTGAGGGGGGAGACGGCAGCTCGGAGGGGCCGGGGAGGGAGCCTGCTGGTGGCAGGTCTAGAGAAGGGGGGTGGGGCAGCGAGGGTGCCTCTAGTGCTGTTGCAGAGTAGCTGGAAACCTAGCCGAGGGAGACCTCGGGGCCTCCACTGGCTTGCCTGTTTCTGGGCTCTACGGGGGAGGAGCCACTGGTGGGCAGGGGCCAGGGGACCCTGGGGACTTTGGAAGGGGGTGCTGGAGGCTGGAGGGAGGAGTATGGATCAGGCAATGGTCCCTTGGGCAGCACTGAGGGGCCGTGAGGGCAGCCAGTAGGGGTTCAGAGTGTGGCCAGCACACAAGGGGCTCCGTGCCCGCCACACCAGGTGCTGGCACAGGTCAAAGCAGGCAGGCGGGGCCAGCCACAGGAGCGCCGTGAGGCCAGACAGCCATGGCCCACCGGTGGGGACTCGGGCTGGGTAAGGAGGGAGGTGAGGACGCTCAGAGGCATGGAGAGGAACTTAGCGGGAGAAGGGAGGGTGCCCTAACATCACCTGCCAGCCCGAGCCAGACACTAACCCTGAGGACATTGAGGGCCAAGTGAGAGAGGAGATAAGGAACTCAGGACAGGTGTGTCGTGGGAAAGCACAGCCAAGAGGCACCTACAGCGAACTTGGGCAGCAGGTAGGCCGAGCGAGCTTGCGGGGTGGAGTGGGCTCAGCCTGAGCTTGGCTTCAGGAAGAGGTGGCACCCCTCCCTCTCCCCCATCAGAGTGGGGTCTCCCCAGGAGATCACGGTGGGCAGAGCCAGCACTGCCCGCCAGACCGGGCACCGCACCTGCCCAGGGAGCCAAGAGCTCCCCTCCCAGCTCCCGTGCTGAACCCAGACCCTTCCCTGCGGCAGCCCAGAGCTTTCCCGGCTTCTATGCCCGCTGGCCCAAGCGTCACCCAAACGTTCACTGTCAGTGTGACCAAATCAGACAGACACAGGGGAAGGGGGTTCCCAGGGTCCGTGCACGTCCAAACATGTCTAAATAGGCAAGACTGCGGGCCTCCGGTGGAGCTGACTGCACCGCCCACCCCAGGCTGGAGTCCGGGGCCTGACTTCCCCTAGTCCCACTGTGGCCAAGGGGTGCACTCAGCAAGCCCAGGTGGGCCCGCACCTCACTTGGGCCACCTCTGTGACCCCCAGCACACTTCCTGAGCCTCGTCTCATTGTCTCAAGCCCCTGCCCTCCCCTGGAGACGAGGAGGTGCCAGCATCAGCTGAGGGGCCCATTGCCCCCCAGGACCCCGCCCCGTTGAGGGCCTTGAGGTCACCAACGTGACAGCCAGCACCATCTCAGTGCGGTGGGCTCTGCACAGGATCCGTCACGCAACGGTCAGCGGCGTTCGTGTGTCCATCCGGCATCCCGAGGCCCAGGAGGACCAGTCCACCGATATGGACAAGAGTGTGGACAAGTTCACGTTCGGGTGAGAGCACAGGGCCGGCCTTCCCTTCCCTCCGGGCCCCAGAGCTTCCTCCTCTCTCCCTCTGTGTCCTTACCCTGCCATTCCCCAGCTGCCCAGCCTGCTGTGAGAAGCAGGGATGTGTGTGTGTGCGCTCCCCCCGCCCCGGGTCCCCCAGGCACCTGCCCGCCTTGCCTCATCACGGGGCTGCAGAGACTCTCAAAAACTCTGGGAGGTGCTGCCTCCTGCACAGATAAGGAGGGAGACTGGGCCTCCTGGAGGGCAGCACGGCCTGAGTCACACAGGCCCCTCCCCTGAAAGGGAGACACAGGGCACCCCTGCAGCTGCTTTACATTTTTATGCTGTTTAAATAATATGGTCAAACCTTAAACTGGGCACAGAACCATCTTATGCTGAATGATTACAAATCAGATGCAAACGGAATTACAAACTAGCTCCGAGCGGCTGAGGACTGAAGTGTGCTCGGACAGCCCGCAGCGAAGGCTCACACTCCACGGCCTCAGCCCCCAGCGGCCCCGTGGGCCTTCACCAGCCAGAGGGGCTTCCGAGACCTGCTGGGGATGGTGCTGGAAGACAGGAGTGTGGGAAGGAAGACTAGCTGGCCGCGGCCTGGGGCCCCTGTGCCTGCAGCGTGCACACAGCTCTGGTAGAGGACAGGCCCACCTAACTGCCCACACCCGACAGCAGCGGGCCACGTCGCCAGATCAGCAGCATCCTGCCCAGAGCAGCCACAGGCCACGGCCATGGGGAGGGCTGTCCGGAAGGCAGGCGCTGCAGGGGTCGGGGCAGGAGAGCCGGGCACAGCGCTCAGTCCCCTCTGCACCACCGAGCTGTGTTGCTTCTAGTTGGCGGACTTTCCAACGCCGTATTTTCCATGCCTGCTGTGCTGGAGACAAGACTCTGCTCTCTTTGTCTCTTAAGTGTTGCTGTGACCTTTCTTGATGTACATCCTGCCCACTTCCGAAGAACAGTGTCACAAAAACACACGTGGGGCCCCGGGTGGGCACTTGGTGAGTCAGGGTCCCCAAGACCACCCAGCTCGGTGAGTCACTGGGGGCCCCCCTGAGACTCAGCACAGGCCGCGCTCCCAGCTGGGATTCACAACACAGAAATGGTAGGGCGCGCAGGAAGGGAGAAGTCGGGGGAGCAGGCCTGAGCTCCCGGGCGCCCTCCCTGTGCACTCACACAGGCCACCACCAGGTGCCTGTGAGAGACGCAGCGCCCGGGGTTTTAATCGGGGGCTGGGCACGGGGCCCCCTGGGCCTGGCATAGATTCCGGATGCCCGGGCGGAAGCGGGTGCTCAGCTCGAACCACGCCGCACAGACGTCAGGGGGCAGCGAGGTCCTCTGATCCATGAGTTCCAGCCTCGGGCCACCTGGCGGGCGGGCATTCCCGAGGAGGGCAGCGGGGCCTGCTGGTCAACCCTTTCTGCACAATGACCTCCAAGGGCCCTCCCTTTTCTGGCCTCTCCTGTCTGAATACCAGCCTGGGCACTACAGCCGCCGCAGGCAGGCGTGGGCTCTTCTCGACCCTTGCCCTGTTCTAGACAGACAGACCAGGGAGGAGCTCCCACCTGAGGAGCACACAGGTCTCAGCCCACAAATCTGGTCCTTGTGGAGGCCCCCCGGGCCACCTGCAGGACCACTCACACCTCTTCCCCCACCTGTGTGGGAGGAGTCACAGTCTGTAATGGAGTCTCTCCCCCTCCCCTCCCCTCCCGCAGGGCCCTGCTGCCAGGAAGGAGATACACCATCCACGTGACTGCCCTCAGTGGGCTCGGGGGACAGGAGCCTCCCACCGAGAGTCTGGCCTCGGCCCCGCTGCACGTGTGGACGCGTGAGTACAGTGGCATGAGCTCAGCTCTTAAGGGAACTTTGCCAGCCATCACCTCCCTCCGGCCCCAGTCCTACCAAAGTGGCCCTGGTGCCCCAGAGGTCTCTTCCCCTCCAGTGCCAGGGAAGGCGGCCTTCCCAGGAAGCCCCCTGCTTGCGCATTCACCCGGCACCCGGATGCTCCTGGGCTCCTACCGGATGGGAGTCACAAGCCAAAGGCCAGAGGGGCACACCGGTGAATGCACACGCTGTCCACTCCTGATCTCCATGGCGTCTCATGGGCAGGAGACCTGGCCCTCACCAGCCCTCCCAGCCCAACGTGTGGGAGGGGGCTAGAGTGCCGTGCGGTCCACGCACAAGGGGACCAGTGAACACGGGGGATGCGTGGTGAGGACGGAAGGTCTGGGCGGGGCCTTGCCCAGCGGGGAGGCATATGGATGGCCCGTGGGGCAAGGGTGATCACAGGCTCAAGTCCTGGCACTGACCCTGAGGCTGGGACCCTGGCCCATTCCCTGCCTGTCTAGCCCAGCCCCTCTTATGTGTCCCAGGAGAAGGTGCATATGGCCAGGCTTAGGGGATCAAAAGGAGGACACGCTGACAGGCTGCATAGGCATGGGGGCCTCCGTGGGTGCACCGGGCAGCATTCTGGGGTGCATCTCGGGCAGGAGGACGTGCTGCTACAGACACCCCTCCACACCATCCTTCAGGACCATAAGGTTGTCCGTAATGACCAGACTTGGCTTCGCACGAGGCTTTGGCAATCCACGTCAGATCTGTAAACGTGGCGGTGGCAGGAGACCCCGCCGGCCCCTGTCACCTCCCTCCCCTGCTCTGTGCCTATCAGGGCCCCTGCCACCAGCAAACCTGACCGCCGCCAGAGTCACGGCCACCTCTGCCCACGTGGTCTGGGACACCCCCGCTCCAAGTACCTTGCTGGAGGCATACGTCATCAACGTGACCACCAGCCAGAGCACCAAAAGCCGCTACGTTCCCAACGGAAGGCTGACGTCCTACACGGTGAGGGACCTGCTGCCAGGGCGGCGGTACCAGCTCTCGGTGACAGCCGTGCAGAGCGCAGAGGGCGACCAACTGCACAGCGAGCCTGCTCACCTCTACATCATCACCTGTGAGTGCAGCCCTACCAGGGCTGGGGGGAGGGGACGGCCACACACACAAGGCCCCGTGGTCTGCTCAGGACCCATGGGGCCATGGTGAGTGCAGCCTGGCCCCTGGTGCTCCCTGTGGGCCACCAGCAGGGCAGCGGCCTGGACTGCCATCCCTGGGGAGTGGTGTCCTGGCCCAGGAGACGGCTCAGCCCCAGGACCCTCTCCCAGCACGGACCACAACTGACCCACGGACATCAGACAGACAACCTCAAAACAGGACCGTGTTAACGCAGGAGAATCGGGGGTGTGGAAATCGGTGGGGGAGGAAGGACTTGTGTGCAGCTGGCACAAGGTCAGTACACCAGGAATTTGGAGACATAAGCATCTTGCTCCTCACCTTGTCCCCGGGGCGTGGCCGTGCAGCCAGGCCTCACCCACGAGGAGCCGATGGACAGAAGCATGGGAGAGAGAGAGGCCCAGGATGGCCACAGGAAGGGGAGCCTGGGGGAGGCCCAGACAGATGGACGGTGGGAAGAGCTCAGGAACGCAGCGTCTCAGAGAGGCCACATGGAGGACGTGGCCCGCGGGGTCACCCAGGTCCCTCACAACCCTGCTCACGTTCTCAAGCTGTAGGAAGACGGTACATCCGGACAGGTGCTACAGTGAGGGCAACAAAGGGAGAAGAAAGAACCGTGGGGTGGACAGTGGCTGAGGCAGAACAGAGCCCCAGAGAGCAGACACGCGGGCACCACGCAGGAGGTGGACGCTTGCTCCGAGAGGTTCAGACCCAGCACGGCTGCATGCACCTGCCCAAGGGAGGGCTGAAGGGCACAGTCAGGCGACAAGGACCCACGGAGGCGCCTGGTCCTCCCGCTCTGGGCGTGTGCAGGGTGGGGGCCTCGCTGAGGTGTCCCGTCAGGTCTGAGTGGCTGGCCGTGCCCTGCAGAGCGAGAGCCTGGGCCCAAGGTGGGCCAGGACAGCTTGTCCCGCGAGCCCTGGGATGGGAAGCGGGTGGAGGCGGGGGTGGGCACGGACAGGGCCCAGGGCTTCTCGGAAAGCCGTGAGCCTGCCGCGAGATCTCGGGCATGCACACGCCCCTCTTCAGTCCTCCCCCTCCGAGGGGCCAGGAGGGTCAGGCCTTGTGCAGCCACCCGCTCCTCCCACCCACCTGCAGCCCCAAGGGACGGCGCTGACAGACGCTGGCACAGGGAGGGACTCCACCCACGGGTGCTCAGAAACAGACCGCCCCCCGTGCGCCTGCCGGAGCACCTGCTCAGTGACCGTGACGCCCCTGAAGCTCAGACCCCGGCCCCCAGGTGCAGCCTCAGCCGCCCCCACCCGGAGCGCGCGGCCCCAGCCACAAGCCCCACAGTGGTGACGCATGGTGACTCCCTTGGCAGGTTCTCGGAGCTTGTGGACGGCAGAGGGCGAGTGAGTGCCAAGTTTAGTGGCTCACCTGGCAAATCGGTCACCGTGAGATCACGTGAGTGCCTCAGCCAGCCCCTGTAGCCTCACTGCCACCTCATCCGGCCCTTGTCCCCGGCACCCTGAGAGCTTAAGGACAACCCTCCCCACCCAACCCCCAACCCCGACACCTGACACCACCTTCAGCAGGGACCTGGCGCAAGGCCAGGCCCTCACACCTGCACAGGCTCACAGGAGCCTTCCTGACTCGGAGCCGAAGTGCAGGTTGCTGGCAGGGCTCGGGGGCACAAGTCGGTCTGAGGCACAGAAGCTGGCCTTGCTTCAGGAGTCCCCGCGTGGCTTGCGACACTAAGCAGGAGAGTGTGACGCCATCTAACTCGTTGCTGCTCCCAGCACACCAGCCTCGCCTGGTGGCTTCTAGAAGTGCAGGGCCCCACCCAGAGCTGTGCAGCTGGAGTCTTTTAACAAGGAGCCAGGTGACGGCAGGCACATCAGTCAGCGGACTGCACCTCTCTGCTACAGTAAGAGATCGTGTCCCGTGTTCCAGGCAGAGCCTTGGGGTCAGATCCTGCTCGGCCTGGATGGGTGGGATCACCCGTGGCAGGCCGGCAGGCCTCTCTGCAGGGCCCCAGCAGCACAGGGCATGGGCGATGGGCCCCGATGGCCTGGCCCCTTCTCATGTGCTTCCGCAGGAGCAGGTGGCCAGGAACCTATCTGCAACAGGTCCTCCCCAAGACTGTGGCACAGCAGGCCAGGAGCCACACGCCCACTGGCTGCCCTGCCCCGAAGGCCCTCAGGACGCTGTAAACCAGGGCCCGTCCTCATGGATTCCCTGGCAGAGAACCTGATTACCAGTTTAGTGAGGATTTTCAACCAACACAGACATTCCTGGGCCAGGGAACAAAAGGGACAGTGATGAGCAGGTGGTGTCGCAGCCCTGGCGGCCAGCAGAGGAGCAGCCGAACGGCTCGCCGCACACAGCGACCAGGAGCAGGAAGGGCCCGGGCAGGTGTCTGGGCAGCTGCGCAGGCTGGGCTGGGTCTGGACACCCTCCTAAAGCCATTAAGCACACAGGCAGGGACCCCTCAGAAAAGCAGACTTACACACAGGGGTGGCCAAGTACAAGGTCCGCCTGAAGGTGGATGGGGGTGGAGAAGGCACCACAGCCCTCCAGAAGCAGGGGTGGAGAGAGAAGAGAGCAGAATTTGACCACAGGAAGGACAGCACAGCATCAGCCACCTGGAGGGATGGGGCCACCGGGTTGGATAGGACATTCGGCCCAGCCTCAGGCCACCGGTGACCTTCACCAAAGCAGCTGTGAGGTTCAGCAGGACAGGGAGGAAAGCTCTCCTGCTGGAGGGAGTGCAGGGGCCCGTGGGACTCTGCCCAAGTGGGGGAGGGGGCAGCAGGGAAGTGGGCGCCGAGCGCTCACCACGGACATCCCTGCACCCTGAGGGAGAGAAGCAGCTCAAGGACACCCAAGAACAATCCTGGGCACGAGGCAGCAGGCTGTGTGGTCAGCACACCGGGGCATTCTCGTTTCTCCTAGAACCCACAGCTCTGGCGCAGCTCGAGAACACGGAGGAGGCCCCCAAGCAGGCGCCTGAGCAGGTCGGCCTGGCCCTCCAGCTCCCTGAACGCAGCAGCGACAAGGACATGGAAAGTAAGTCAGCAGGAGTGGACTTTCAGAGCTGACCACCTTAGGGGGCCTTAGGGCCGGAGGTGAGGAGGGGGCCGCCCACAGGGAAGAAGCGGGAGACACAGAGCTGCCCAAGGAGCAGCCAAACACCCCGTCCTGGAAAGGGTGGGCGAAGCTCACCACACGGGCCGCGGCGCCCACATCTCTGTGTACAGAGAACAGGCTGGGAGCACACTCACCCAAACGACCCAGGCCTGCCCTGGAGGGACAGCCCCTTCCCCCCCAACAGAAAGCACAGCCCTTGCTTCTCCAGAGGACCGTGCTGAGCAGGGTGCAGAAGTCCCGGAGGGGCAGCCGGGACAGCTCCAAGACACACGTCCGTCACCCAAACTCAGACCCCGGCCCCACCTTTCCTCCTCGCTCTAACCCCTGGGGCTGGGTCCCTCTGGGGACCATTCCTGCAGGACCCAGCGGCCCTTTCTCCCAAGTCACACCACAGGCCCAGGCTGGGCCCTCCCACCAACCAGACCCCAAGGAAGGCGGGAACGGTGAGCCAAGTGCCCGAGATGCCGCCTCCGAGGGCGCGTCTCACCTGCAGGCCTGCCCCGGGTGACCCAAGGACTCCCGCACACATCAAGGGCATCTGCGCCAGAGGGTGTGTGTGCCTGGAGTTGCCCTCAGCCCGAGGAGCCCCGAGAGGGTGGTCTGCATGACCCCATTAGTTGAGGTGGGTGCAGAGTAAAGTAAAAATTATGTTGCTGTTGGTTTGTAAGTGACATAAGCACCCGTGTCATCAGAGGGTCTGTGTTAGTCAGCCCTTTTCAATATGAGACGCTGCGTTTCATAAAACTCTGGAACCAGAGAGACGTGAATTACCGCTCCTTCTCAAGGCGGGGGTTCAAGCTGGCCCCGGACGACACTGCAATCTGCAGTGTTTGCTAACGAGAGCCATGCAGGCAGGCGGGGGAGGGGCAAAAGGAGGTTTCAGGTGATCAACAGGAAAAAAAATCATCAACATCCCCGAGGTGTGCAAAGTTAATTGTGGCTTTTGGTTCCTGTTACACCTATTTGGGGACCATGACAGCCCCTTTTATTTAGTTTAATAAGTTACCTTTTGCTAAGATAACGAGTGACCTTTAGATGTGGAACCCGACCCGTGAACTAGAACACGAACAGTAACCTGCATCTCGCTGTCGTACTGCCAGCTAGCCATGCCCCTGGACTCCGTGTTAAGTCCCTTTGCTCTGCTGCAGGGTGGGCGGTGGGGAGGGGGCCTCACACATACCCACGTTTGCCTCAACAGTTGAGGTTTTTTAGTTACAAGGTGTCTGCCGTGCACATCCTCCCGGACCGTCAGTAAGGTCGGTCAGAGCTGTCGTTCGTGGCCACAGCTCATTCACACATGAGTGAATTCGCCGCAGCCTTGTCCACTCTTTGCCCAGAGGGCACCTGGGTCGTGTTGGGCTGTCACTGGCAGCTTCACCATCAAGTTCCTACATGTTTCCCCCGGCACAAGTGCAAGAGCAGAAATGCTGGGCTTGGGATGTGTGAAAGCCCAAGTCACTCAAGAGTGCGAACCTGTTTTCTGAGCGGGGACGTGAGTTCATACTCCCTCCAGCTATGATCAAGAGTGTGGTTAAGCCAGTCTCTCTAAAACTGATCTGGCAGGGTTACCAGATTCTGCCAGTGGAATGGGGATGAAGCACACCCCTTGGGATCTGGATTTGTGTCTTGAATGCGGATACGGTCAAGCGTCTTTTCATTGGTCTTGACCAAAGGCTCTGGGTCCACCGCTCTGTTCCACTGTTTTCCCTTCCTGAAGCCAACACCACGATTTTAATGGCGCTATCTTTGGTAAGACATGCTATCCCTCAGGGCCCACCCACTCACTCCGACCTTCAGTGTTGGCTGTTCTTGGTCTTCTGTCTTTCTATACAAGTTTATAACCAGGGGCACTGGGTGGCTCAGTAGGTTGAGTGCCAGACTTCGGCTCAGGTCATGATCTCATGGTTTGTGGGTTCGAGCCCCGTGTCGGGCTTTGTGCTGAAAGCTCAGGGCCCGGAGCCTGCTTCAGTTTCTGTGTCTCCCTCTCTCTCTCTGCCCCTCCCCTGCTCGTGCTCTGTCTCTGTCTCTGTCTCTCTCTCCAAAATAAATAAACATTAAAAAAAAATTTTTTTTAAGTTTATAACCATCTTGTGGAGTCCCACAAAGCACTTGGGATTTGGCCCTACATGCCTGAAAATGCTCTTAGTAGCTGTCACATTTGAAAGACAATTTGAGGGGCGCCTGGGTGGCTCAGTCGGTTAGGCGTCTGACTTTGGCTCAGGTCATGATCTCGCGATTCATGAGTTCGAGCCCCGCATCAGGCTCTGTGCTGACAGCTCAGAGCCCGGAGCCTGTTTCAGATTCTGTGCCTCCCTCTCTCTCTGCCCCTCCCCTGCTCATGCTCTGTCTCTCTCTGTCTCAAAAATAAATAAAAACATAAAAAAAAAAAAAAATGAAAGACAATTTGAGTGGGTATAAAATTCGAGGTTCAAAGGTTGTCTACCTTTCAGTTCTTCAAACATTAGTCCCCTGTCATCTGTCCAGCACTGCTGTCAATGGGTGTCAATCTTATTCCTGTTTCCTTGTAGGATATCTGCTCATTTTCTCCGGAAGCTCTTAGACTTTTCTTTCTCAAGGAAAGGAGGATCCCCAGAGAGCCCTAGACACCCAAAGACTACAATTAACACTCTTGATTGGTGTCTCCTCACCAGGCAGCTCTCTGGGTTAGGGGTGCACCTTTGAGCTCCCAGGGAAAGTTCATGGAGAGGAGGAGGATCCCCAAGATCATAACCTGCCCCTTCAGAGGTCTGGAGTGGCCACTGAGGCTAGTCAAATTCTTCCTGTTTCCTCCAAATTCTCACCCCAGCAGGATTTGGGGGTTCTCCCGGTTTTATCCCCTGCATACCAGAGACAGGCAGGCAGTCTCCATCCTCGGGTGACAGCAGCAAGGGCAGAACTTACACCTCTTTACTCTGTGACTTATCATCACGTGGGAGCCTCCCACTGCCACCACCCCAGAGTGCAGCCATACCCATTCCCCACCCCGTTCAAAACAGCCACCTCTGTTAAAGGGTGCATAGGTCACAATAACCTCGGGATTCAGTGGGCTGACTTCACAAGATGAGGCTACAGTGGGCAGTGCCCTGGTGAAAATCCCACTGCTGCATGACCTGCAGGCTTAGGGCCTCAGCTGCCCAAGAGTGGAGCGAACATCAGTCAGTCTCTGCAGCCTGGTGTCCCGATCACAAAGGGTGAGGGTAGCTGGCAGAGGCTCACGGGCTCCACACAGGCCTGCGCACTGCCATGTTCCGTAAGCTTGCCATAAGATATCTATGGACATGGTGTATGGGGCCTAAATTCCATATGGAATTGGAAGGGACCCGGAATAACAAACACTATCTTTAAAAAGCAGAAAGACCCATACACCCCGTTGTCAAAACTTACCACAGGGCAACGGTAATAGGTCAGTGTGATACTGGCACAAGGACAGGCTTATAACCAACAGAACAGAACTGAAAGCCAAGAAAGAAACCCATCCGTCTGTGGTCAACTGATTTCAACGAGGAGGCCAAGACCACTCAATGGGGGAAAGAACAGCTTTCGACACATGGGAGCTGGGAACCCTGGACGTCCACATGCAGAAGAATGAAGTCAGACCTCAACTTCACACCATACACAAAATTAATCCAACAGACCAACTACTTAAATCTAAGGGCAAAAACTGTAAAACTCTCAGGAAAAAACACAGGGGTAAATCTTCATGACCTTGGATTTGGCAAAAGACTTTAGATAGACACCAACAGCCTGAGCAACAAAAGAAAAAAAGGCAGATTGGACTCATCAGAATATAAAGCTTTTTGTGCTTCAAAGGACGTTATCAGAGAGAAGACAGCCCAGAGAAAGAGAGACAATATCTGCAAACATATACCTGAAAGGCATCTGTATCCAAACTATATAAAGAATAACTTTGCCTGAATAAAAGATAATCCTAGTAAGAAACAGACAAAAGGATCTAAACACTTATTTCTAGAAGGAAGATACACAAATGGCCAAGAAGCCCATGAAAAGATGTTTGGCATCATTAGGCATCAGGGAAACGCTAGTCAAAACCAGTGAGATGCCACCTCATACCTGCAGGATGGCTAGAACGAAAAGATGACAATGAGCACCGGTGAGGATGTGGAGAAACTGCTGGTGGGCACGTAGAGTGGTGCAGCATGACGGGGGAAGGCAGGTGCAGCACGGGGCGG